GGCAGAAAGTGGAGACGAAAGAAGACAACAGGACATGATTAGAGAGCAGGAAGGGAGATGAAGGAGAAGAAAATTTTTCGTCAATGTCAAGTTTCGAACCCATGACCTGATGAATGAAAGGCAACCACTGTAAATTCTAAACCACGAGAGCTACAGCCCTATCTGTAATATAGGTAAAAAAACCCCTTAGAAGTGATTTGAGTAGAACGATGACCAGGATTTGAATCTATATGACTGCTGAAGGACGTAACTAATTCCAGTACGTTCAAATGGTACGGATATAAAAGCAAGAAAAATTTTTTTTTTTCCTACCCTTAAAGGACACTACACCTACTACTGTCTTCTGCACTTGCTAGCAGTAAAAGAATCTAGTTCTCCCTTCAAAGGTGAACAGAGCAACTGTAGGTACTTCTGTGCTAAGGGCTGCGCAGGATAAATTCCTTGCAGCAACAAGTTGATTACATATGTCACAACGGAAAGATTTGTGAACAAAGGGAGAACGCACTGCAGTTCTAAGTAAGTTAAATCCACATACGACAGGATTTTTTTTTCTTTTTTTTTCGGTGCGTGTTTGCGTAGCGTAGAACTTGTGGCGTCGCTCTTCCTATAAAATCCTATACCCCGAGCGGCGGCCATGCGTGGAAGCTTTTATTCCTCGTCGCCGCGAATCGCAGGAATAATAATGCAGAACGACCAAGGGATTCGAGAGAGAGTATGAGAAGCGAGAGTGGGCCTACTAATAACGTCTTCGCTCCTGATTCGAAACATTGCCGGCTCAGATGAGAAACGTGGAAGTAAACTAAGGACGTTGTTTAGACAACATTGTAAACTCGTACAAAAGGAAGGGATAGCCAGGAGATACTTTATTCTCTTGCAGATGACAGAACCGACCATGCATCTTCGACCTCTCAGGGAAAAATTCATGCACCGGAAAGAACGATTTGTTTTGTTACTTATGCTTATAGGCCCTTTATTGCTCTTGTACAGTTTCTGTTCTACTGCTTACAGTGACAAAGCGGTGAGTACGTTTGATTGATTTTTACTTTTTTAAAATATCTTTTTTAAAATCGATAATCTGTTTTTCTCCTTCTAATGACTTTCAATTTCACTTGCACAATTTGGGGAAATGTTTACAGAAGGATATGATCACATTGTTTACATTCATTAGACATACTATTTATTTAAGCGAAGGAACAATCAAACTGATACAATGCAGCGGTTATAACTATGTTTGGGTATGACGTATTTTCTAGCTATTTGAAAGCTTACCTTTTGGTTGCATTTAATCGACAGATTCCTCAGCTTTTCCAAAACAATATATTAGTTCAATATTTTTCTAGTTTTACTCTTTACAATAATACTATTGCTGTACATTCACGATCACCTATTAATCCTTCTTCAGTAACATTTATTTTTGTACCCAGAGCAAATTTGTAACGTTGAGTACCCCACTCTCCTCAGCTATACCCTACTCTAGGGATTCTCATGTTTAGAACAAGAATACCACACACCTGTTTGTGGACTTACTGTACGATTATTGATAAAGCCTTTGCGCTGCACTACATATACACTGCAAAAATATGTGACTTGTTTTTTAAGGGTATTGTGGTCAATCTAAAATAAGTACGTCAATACTCTATTTGCTAAATCCCAGTACATTATTATATCAAAGGACTGCACAAATACAGGCGTTATTGAGAGAGACCGGGGTAAATTAACAACAGTAATATCTACGTTCTAAAATGTATATCTACCTGTTGTCAAGAGTTAAGTTCGAAGAGAATCGCAAAATGACAGATTTACTTGATAAAGACTGATTTTCTCAAGTGGAAATCGAACTTGCACTTTTACCGCCCTTCGGCGATATACCTGCCAATTACAACACCCAAAATGACTGAGAAAACGTTTTTACTTTGATTCGCAGCTATTAACCTTTTGGGTGTCTCGGGAAGACAGAGACGTCCCTCTGTCGCCAGCCGGAGAGCTTGGGTCAGGGGGGATGCCGTGCTTGTTAAATGTTCCCTGACTCCATCTATCCCGGTAATTCTCGGTCGCCCCCGAGCCTTGTAGGCACGTTGTGCTGGATGGTGTGTTGGTAATCGTACAAGATGTCCGAACCATTTGATTCTTTAGTGTTGGATCTGATGCATGACATCATTTGTGCCCACCATTACTGAGTTTCTAATTTTGTCTCGCCTGGTCTTGTTTACTGCTTTTCTAAAGCATCACATTTCACATGTTGTAATTCTTTGGTCTAATGTCTTGTTCGTGGTCCATGTTTGACATTGATAAGTGAGTGTTGGGATGAATATGGTGTTGATCATTTTGAGTTTTGTTGTCATGGGGATGTTAGGATGTTTCAGTGGTGGAGTAAGTTAGTAATTAACATTAGTGGCCTTTTGTACTCGTGTTTCAATTTCTCTGTTCAGTCGCCCATCCTCTGTAAATATACTTCCGACGTTTTTAATTCTTGGATCTGTCTGAGACAGTTGTTGTTGATGACAGAGAAAAAACATGCTAATTTCTTGTAAGAGAAGCCTTTAGTTTTAGTAAGCGTTTATTGGCACTTGCAACACAATTACGTCATAAAAGGGCCGACGATTAGAGGTAATCCAAAAGAGTAATGAATACAAACAGAAAGAGGAGAGATAAGGATGATAGATGCTTGAAAGGAAAGACGCAGCAAACCACACCAGAGCACCAGTCAACCTTCCACAAAAGTCTACTGTAAAGTTAATTAAATGTATTTTTAAAAATTCATTTCTGTACAAGAACTGTTCAAAGCTTCCATAAACACAAGCAAACTGCATTTATGGTCTAAAACCGGGGCGCTTTTAGTTGTGTCAATATCTTACACACTTGGGTTTCAGGTTCCTTAGGTTATAACACAATGTGATATCCTGTGAACTATCAATGCAATTTTGCCCCCCCCCCCCGGCCAACCAACAATTCCGCCTCACTAATCACATTACGACTTGACAATAATCATCCTGCATTGCACGCGGCTCTTTGTCAGAACTCTAATAAATTCAAAAGTAAATTAATTGATTGCTCATTCTCAACTTCCAAAGTACAACAATTCTTTAGAAATAAATTGGCTCCTTGGCATTGCCCTATTTACTTCTATTCTTGGGAGGGGGAGCCATTAGCAACATGTCCGCTCTAGCATACCGAAAGGGATTATTGTTCCTAGAACCCTTTTAAGGAGCTACGTCTTAGCTCCTTGAGTGCCCCTGGGCGCTACACACAACTGATTACTTTTTCTCCTATAACCCGTTGGTCCTGTAGTGTTTCCTACAGCTTGACCAAGCGGGAAACTCATCATGAGTTGCATACGACTTCAAAAACATGCACAGGAAAACTATTTCGTGCGAGGGACTGAACTTCTTGATTATAAATTTTCCATTTGTCTGGGAAAAGTGTGTGTGTGTAATATGGTAAACGGGGAAAGATGGAGGGGGGGGGGTATTCTCTTTCTGGTTCTGTAGCTATGCTTCAAGGTAAATACAATTTAAGTGAGTTCTAAAGACAGGGTTGTAACCTCAGAGATATTTAAAGCAACATTGACGGGTTAAAACAGCTTTACTTACCCTGCAATTAAGGGTGACGGAAAAAAAATGAATCATGTACTAAATGAACATGCTTTTGATTACATATGTGAATATCTCTTTATGTTTGTTAGTTTTGTATTGTTAACACTACTTTAATTACCAGATGCAAAACAGATCAGAATTATTTACGTTCCAGAATTGGCGTAGAAAAGAATCCAGACATTGAGATGGCATTCAGCAAGCACTGCTTTCTTGCCTGATTTGTCAGAGCTGGGGTTCTGTATGTTAATTTCTGTGTAATTCGATCTAACGTGTCTCCAAATATCATTCGAGCATTTTAACAGTTAGTTTCACTGCTGATTCAACGTAAGTTCGGCAAAAGAGTGAGGTAATTAAAAAACATTCTTATTGAGATAACTTTTTGCTTTGAACATTGGTTGCACATGTTTTTCCCCTAGCACTTTTTTGTGTTCCTTCCACAGGGAAGATACACCCGTCTTCCTTTAGGGCTCCCCCGATCTCCTTCAAGACAACTGGCCACTCGCAAACTCTCCTCGATGGAAAACGGCGATGTTATTGTGTACTCCGCCATCGTCATACCATCACGAACACAACGATCGAATATGGATGTTATAGTGACCACTTTGCGGACCTCGGAACAGGCTCTGACGTGTTGCTTCGTGACTTACAAACTCAAACTGCTCTCAATCCAAGCTCAGGCTCACTTCAGTTATTACTCACAGACAGATGTACACATTGGAGGGTACCTCAATAAAGGGGGTTATTTTGCCCTCCAGTACAAATGCACTGTGCCATTAACAGACGATTATGTCATGTATTTGACGATGACACCTCAAAAATGCCCCGAGAGTTTGGACGAGGGAATAGAAATTTCATATGTTCCAGAAGCTAAAAACAGAGTAGCTCTGTGCACAACACTTACCGACAAATACGAACCAACCCCTTCAGAAATGGTTAGCTGGTTGGAGATTCAGATTCAGTTGGGAGTGGATAAAATTTTTATATATGACTTACTCGGATCTAAAAATTTGTCTAAAGTGTTCGACTTTTACCAAAGGCGAGGGGTTCTGGAGCTACAGCGGTTTACTTTGCCAAAACATGAGGCGAGCGAAGGTGGAGCAAATCGGCCGTTGGAAGACATGCAGGCAGAATCTGTCCCTGTGCTGGACTGTCGTCAGAGGGCGGCTGGATTCACTTACGTGTTGTGTCTTGGTTTGGATAAAGCCCTGGCTCCAATGTCCTCGGTGACCTTGAACGGATTCTTCCAGGTACGTGATGTCTAAAAACTTGGCCATTATACCTCGAGTGGGCCCTGAAATGTGTGTTTGTGTTTATTTGTTTGTTAGTTTGTAAGTGTGTTTGTGTGTTTGTGTGTGTGTGTGTGTGTGTGTGTGTGTTTGTGTTTGTGTGTGTGTGTGTGTGTGTGTG